AAAAAAAAAAAAAAAAAAAAAAAAGTAAAAAATTAAAATAATAATATTTATTAATATATATAAAAAATGAACAACATTATATTTAATAAAATAAATACATATAAACATTATATTATTTCAGATAATAAAAATTCAACACATTTTTAATTCTGTTCTAACAAATGTGCAATTTTTTTTTTTTTTTTTTATCATCATTAATATATATAAAATGTAAATATATTTTTTTTTTTTTTTTTTTTTTTTTTTTTTGTTAATTATGTTTTCTTTAGGTTTAAAAGAAAGAGAATTAGAAAATTGTGAAAAACAAATAAAATTACATATGTTACATGATAAAATGTTTAATGAAGAAAAATATAAGAAATATTGGGAATCTCTTTTATATTTTGCTGAATTTTATTTAGATAATTTGAATAATGGTTTAGAACGTTCAGATAATATAGTTGATGATGAAAAAATCAATAAAAAAATTAAATTATTTTTTGAAAACAAAAATTATGATGAATTAACAATATTTGAAGAAAAGATAAAAAAAAAAATAATTAGTGATGATCTTAATTTTGATGTAAACTATTGGAACAATGTATTACTAAAAATTCCTTATTTTAAATCGAAATATATATTAGATGATTTTCACAAAAAGTTACATGATAAAATTTCAGTTAACAAGGAAAATACATGTTTACCTCATAAGTATGTTAAAAAAAATATATACATATATATATATATATGTCATAATATTATTTTATATTTAGTTGCAATTAATTCACTTACTGTTTATAATGTTTAAATAAATAGTAAACTAAAAAATTGCTATATTAATTAATACAGTTTTTATTTTAAAATTAAAATTATTTTTTCTTTAATTTTAGTTAAAAAAAAAATTGTTTTACAATATTATTTAAGAAAATATATAAAAAAAAAATTACTATACATTTGACCATATGTTTGTCAATATAATATAACCACTTTTACAAATATTTATGTATTGATTTTTTTTTTTTTTTTTTTTTTTAGAGTATCACAAAATAATGAGGAAAATGGTGTAATAAAAAAAGAAGAAAAGAATATAATTGATATGTTTGAATGTGAAAGTCCTCTTTTATATTCATTAGAATCATTGGAAGATGATGATATTTATATATATAAACCTGAAGAAGAATTGGAAGAAAGAGAAAAGATAAATGAAGAAATTTTAAGGAAATTAAAAAAGAAAGATAATAATGATGAAAAAATAGACGATATAAATGAAGAAAATACTATAAATAAATTTTATAAAAAGGATAAAGAAATTTATGATAATTTTGTACGAAGAGAAAAAAAAAAAGGAATAAAAGATGAAATAATAATGAAAGATATATCACTACATACATTAACAAATACACTAAAGTGTTCATTATTTGTTACAAGAAAACCATTATATTTTAATAGAATTAAAACATCTTTTGATTGGAACAAATATAATAAAACTCATTATGATTATGAAAATACGCCACCTAAATATATATGTGGATATAAATTTAATATTTTTTATACCAACTTACTAAATAAAAAACAACCACCAACCTGGAAGTTACAGCATACAGATGATGAAAATAAAGTTCTTATTATTTTTCACGGGGGAGCCCCATATTTAGATATAGCTTTTAAAATTGTAAATGCTGAATGGTCATTTGATAAAAATAAAGGATTTAGGAATGTCTTTGATAAAGGAATTTTACAATTATATTTTAACTTTAAAAAAAAGAGATATAGAAGATGAAAATTTTGTTCCTTTTTTTTTTTTTTTTTTTTTTTTTTTGTTTTAAAATTATTTATTTTCTTTTTTAAATTAATAAAATTATAGTATATATATAAACCGAACTATTATATGCTATTTTTATGTATGCATATTTTTTTTTTTAATATTTTTTAGTATTTTTTTTAAGAATTTTATTTAAATTTCTTTTTATTTTATGTCATTTTTTAATAAAAAAAAAGAAAATAAAAATCATATATATTAACACATGTTTAAATATATATAGATTATTATTTTTATTTTTATTTTTATTTTTTTTTTTTTTTTGTGGCTAATTTTGCATTTCGCAAATTTTTTTTTAATGTTCTATATTAAACGCTATTAAAAAAAAAAAAAAAAAAAAAAAAAAAAAAAATTATTTTCACTAAAAGTAAAACTTAATTTTATAAATATTTAGTTTAATAAAAAAATATTTTTATTTAAATTTTGTAGAGTTATAAGAAAAATTACTTATTTTTAAATGTATGAAAATTATAACTTTTTTTTTTTTTAATTAAAAAATTTTTGAGATTAAAAAAAAAAGCTTTTTAAAAAATGGTTCTACAGATTATCAAAATCATTAAATAAAAGATTAAATAAAAAAAATATGTTACTATAAAAATATAAAATAATTTTTTTTTTTTTTTTATTAATGAATATAGCTTTATTTAAAATTTTATAAAAACACTAGAAATTATGTTTAATAATAATATAAATCATCTATGCAATAAAAAAAAGGAAATATATCAAGAATTTTCAAAAATTCATAAAACGAAATACAAAATTAATAAAAACACTCATCTGGGAACAAGTAATACAAATATCAACACCATTCTTTATACAGAAAATGAAAAATCAAAAGAAGATGTTCCAATAATGACAACTAAAAATAATTATATAAATAATAACGAATATTGCAACAGTGGGGATATTTTTTTTAATACTATTTATAATAATAATGAAAAAGATAACATTAATTATATAAAATATAAAAATGTATATAATAGTGGTATAAAATATAATCATCTACATTATAACAATTTAAATTTTAAGAAAAGGAAATTTAATAACTGTGAAAATTTAAACAATAATTTACAAAAAATTACAATAAACAGAAATATAAAAAGTAAGTTGAATAATAATTCATTGAATATAAATACTAAAGAAAATGAGAAAATAAAAAATTCAGATAAAAATGTATATAATTATTTTCAATCAGATATAATACAGAACAAAAATTATTCTAATAATTTCATAAATAATAATTCTAATAATTTCATAAATAATACTTCTAATAATTTCATAAATGATAATTCTAATAATTTCATAAATAATAATTCTAATCATAAAAATAGAAGCTCAATATTTATGAATACTTCTACAAATATAAATTCATTAAAAAAAAATAAAAGTCTTTATAATAAAAATTTTATCTGTAATAACGTAAATGTAAATTTCAAAAATAATAATGATTTTTATCCAATTAATCAAGGTATAAATAAAAAACTTAAACTTTTTAATTCAATTAAATCAGCAAATTGTGAAAATAATAATAATTACTCTGATAAAAATATAGATATAAATAAAAATGTTAATAAATGTAGTAATAACGTTTTATATAATAATAATAATAATAATAATAATAATACTAGTATGAACATTTATAATGATAATAATAAAGAAAAAAATAACAATAAAAATAATTTAGAATATACATATTATAAATATAAAAACGATATGAATAATAATATAATAGAAGATTATTCACAAACAGATGAAGAAAAAAATAATGTAAAAGAAGAGGAAATCAATAATGAAGAAAAAGAAGAAAAGAATGAATTATCAAAAATAAACATAACTCAAAATGATAAATGTGAAAAATACAAAAAAAAAATAAATCAAAAAAAATACAACATTTTAATGGAATCAATAGAATATTTTACAAATAGAAAATTAAGAGAAAAAGAAGAACAAGAAGAAGAATGTAATTCAGATAAAAGTGAAATAAATATTGAAGAAAATTTAAAAAAACAAAATGACAATAGTTGTAATGTATGCAAAGAAAAGGATTATATATATAAATGCCCATATTGTGAAATTCGATCCTGTTCATTAATTTGTTCAAAAAATCATAAAAAAATATTTAATTGCAAAAATAAATTAAAAAAAAATTTTAAAATTAAAAATGTTGGAAAATTTAATTTTAATGAGTCAGTTTTATATAAGGATTTTTTATACTTGCAGAATGTTGTAAATATTGTTGAAGGAAATTATAAATTTATAAAAGTTAAAGAAAATGAAACAACTAAAATATGGTTAGTTTTTAATAAAAAATTAAAAAGTATTTTAAAAAAGAGAGAAATAATTTTATTAAAAGCACCTATATATACAAAATTACATAAAGAAAATAAAACATATATTTTTAAAAATGTTATATATTGGATGGTTAAAATCACTTTTGTAAACATCAATATTTTTATAACAGAAGATAATGTAAACGAAAACTTTTCCTTTTTGGAACTAATTAATTCAATTTGTAAAAAAAAAGAAACATTAGAAACAAAATTAAATATTTATTTGAAGAACTTATATGCAATACATATCTCTTTATTTGATAATATAAGAAAAGAGAAAAAAGAAGAAAAAAAATATTATTCTATTAATCAAACTATATATGATGCATTATTTGGTAAATCTTTCTATGAATATCCTCATTTTATTTTTGAAATTTTCTATAATGATAATATACCTGTCATAAATCCTTTATATGATAATGTAAACAAAAAAAATAATATAAATAAAAATATAATTAAAGATAATAATGAAAATGAAAATGAAAATATAAATAAAAATATAGATCTATGTGTAGATGAAAATATAAATAAAAACATAATTAAAGATGATAATGAAAATGAAAATGAAAATGAAAATGAAAATATAAATAAAAATATAGATCTCTGTGTAAATGAAAATATAAATAAAAATATAGATCTCTGTGTAAATGAAAATGTAAATAAAAATATAGATCTATGTGTAGATGAAAATATAAATAAAAATATAATTAAAGATGATAATGAAAATGTAAATAAAAATATAGATCCAAGTGTAAATGTAAATAAATTGGACTAAAATAAATATGAAAAATAAAATGAATATAAAAAAAGAAACAACGATAATTATAAAAGTTAAAAAGATAATAAGAACATGGGTTATTACAAAAGTAAAAATTAAAATTAAAATTAAAATATATATATATATATATATATTATAAAATATGGAATTTCAAATAGTAATACTAATATATATTAAATTATTTAAGATTTCAAGACAAAATATATTTATAAATTTAAAAGAGAAACTATCTCAATTTTCTTAAGTATAAAAAATGAAATAACACATTTTTATATATTTATAAGTTTGTTACTAATTCATTTTCTTTTATTTTCTTTTAATCCACTAGTTAATTTTTATGATAATTAATTTAATATTTTTATTTATATATCTTTTTTTTTGTTTAAGTCATTTTAAATTAAAAACTTTCTCATTATATCCTATTTTATTGTATATATGTTACTTAAATTTAGTATTTTATATTTGCTTTAATTTTTTTAAATGTAATATATTTTTAAAAATGCAAAAAAAAATATATTTTAAAAATTAAAGTTGATATAAAAGAATAATTTTTAATTTTATATTTAATATTTAACTAATATTAAAAATAAAAAGGAAATACTTTTATATGAATATTAATGTCTATTTTTTTTTTTTTTTTTTTCCCCACATATTTAAAAGGAAAATGATCATAATAAAAATATATATGATTGTATAATTTTTAATTGAAATTATAAAAATCATATAATAAAGAACTATGTTTCTGATTATTAAAAGAAAGGAATAATTAAAAATGAAAAATATGTGTGTTATTTTTTAAAAAAAATTGTTCATAAGAATTTATGAAAAGCATTATAGATTTATGTATATTTATACCTTTATTAAAATATTGACCTTTTAACATTCTAACACATTCTGAAATAATAATACATGTTAACAAAATATTAATTATATCAATATCAATATAATGATATATATTTAAAAAAAATTAAGAAAAATTTATACATTTATATAATAAGCTTTATTAAATATTTATATACATATATATTATAAAATGATGATAATATATATAAATAAGAAAAAAATATAGAATGATAAAAAAAAAAAAAAAAACACTTGCAAAAAAAAAGAAAAAAAAAAAATATGCATATAAGAATTGATCAGTTTTTCTTTTTTTATAATATAATATTTTAAAAAAATAAATAAATAATTATAATACATATATATAAAAAAAAAAAAAAAATATTTATTAAAATATATATATATATTTTTTCAATGGTATTAAAATATTGTTTTTATCCCTGTTATTAATTAGTACATTAATAATTCCCTTTGTAATATAATAATTATCATTTTTTACAACATTTTTGTAAATTTTATTTTTTATTTTTATATTATGTTATTGTTGTTATTAAAATCATTATTAAGAATTTTTTTTCTTTTTATTAATAAAAAATGATTATAGTTAAATAAGAAGAGAAAAAAAAAGTATGAAAATTTTTATTTTGTTGATATTTTACTTTGGAGGAATATATTTATGTAAAAAAAGAAATATAAATATTAATTTTAAATTTAATGAAAGAAAACAAAAGAATGTAAAAAAATATAAGTTTATCAATATTAATAAAAAAAAAAGAGTCGATAATTATAACTTTCTTATTATAAAAAAGAATTATAAAAAAAGAATAAAATGCTATGGTGAAGGATTTTCTAATACTTTTCATAATGATGTGAAAAAAAACACAAATGATTATTCAGAAGACAGATTACCTTCATATCATAGATACATAGAAAATTTTAAAACGAGAAAAATAATTCATCCAAGTATTAGATTAAGAGAATTAGATAAAAAATTTATGAAATGTAAAGAAAATTATAATAAATTATTTTCACATTTAAACAAAACGGATATCTTTGAAAATTTCTCTTATGTTGGTAGACAAAAAAAAGGTGTATTATCTCCCACATATTATTTACCTAAATATATTGAAAGACCAAATTATCATAGAACTGGTACTCCTATTTATGTGAGTTATGATAATAATAATAATAATGAAGAAAGAAGTAGATATGAATATAAAAATGTAAAAGATGATAATGATATAGAAATAATATCTAATAATTGTAAATTTGCAAGAGAATTGATGGATGATGTATCATATATATTATGTGAAGGAGTAACTACAAATGATATTGATATTTATATTTTAAATAAATGTATTAATAATGGTTTTTATCCATCTCCCTTAAATTATCATCATTATCCTAAAAGTTGTTGTATATCTATAAACGAAATATTATGCCATGGAATACCAGATAATAATGTTCTATTTGAAAATGACATTGTAAAAGTAGATATAAGTGTTTTTAAAAATGGGTTTCATGCAGATATGTGTGAAAGTTTTCTCATTGAAAAAATAACAAAAGCAGAAAAAAAAAGGAGAAAAAAAAATTATGATTTTATTTATTTAAATGATAAAGTTAAAACAAAATATACAAAATACATTTTTAAATATCATTTTGATTTAACTAAGAATATGGTTGTTAGAAAAGGAAAATCAATTACTACAAGAAAAATGAGATATGTTGCTCCAAATTCAAAGGATCAACAAAATGATTTTCATTTTGATTACGATGATAATACTAATTCAATTCGTTTAAATAATATATCTCAAAATATGTTAAGTAATAATTATAATGATTATGATGACGAACTGGAAAATTTTCATAAACAATATGATGATAAAGTTATATATAATCCAGAGAAAAATCAAATGTATAACAATATTCAAAATTTTATATATAATAAAAGTGAAAAAGATAAAAAAAGAGAACAAAAGCATTATGATTTTTTTGAAAGAAATAAGTTTAGTTTAGATGATTTTAAAAAATTTATGTATGAAAAAAACATAGAATTAATTAAAACAGCTTATGAATGTACAATGGAAGCAATCAGTATATGTAAACATGGAGTTCCATTTAAAAATATTGCAGAAGTAATCGATAGTTATATTAAAAAAAAAAGAAAAAAAAATATTTATTATTCTGTTGCACCAAATTTATGTGGTCATAATATTGGAAAAAATTTTCATGAAGAACCATATATCTTCCATACATTAAATAATGATGATAGAAAAATGTGTGAAAATTTAATATTTACAATTGAACCTATTATTACAGAAAGAACATCTGATTATATTACATGGCCTGATAACTGGACAATCTCAAGTTCTAGATATTATTTTTCAGCTCAATTTGAACACACTATTCTTATTAAAAGAAACCATGCAGAAATACTAACAAAAAAAAATGAAAAATCTCCCAAATTTATATGGGAAAGAAATAATATTTAATAAATATAAAATAATAAAATAATAAAATAATAAAATGAATCATATTTTAAAAAAAATTTAGAAAAATATATTTCAAAACTTTCCAATTATCTAAATTGTATATATATCATCCTGTTATTTGTACAAAATTATTTCAAATTTTTTATTTCATTTTTATTTTATTTTTTTTTTTTAATAAAAACAATTAGGACATCCTTTTTATCCAATTTTTAATCATTTTATAAAAATATTTTTCTTCGAACTGATTCAATACAAAATATAAAAAAGTTTTAATTTTAATTTAAAACCTTTTCATCATAGGACAGATATTAAACTTGTATATTTATGAAGTTTCTTTTTTTTTTCTTTAAATTATATATATATATAAAAAAAAAAAAAAAAAAAAAAA